TCCACTGCTGTTCAACCAAGCGGACGCCCCCGATGCCCCCAAAGGCAGGTCGCTGCAATCAGACAACCAGCTGGTCAGCGCGTCGTCGCGCCCTGACGCGCGGATGCTGAAACAGCGCGCGCGGCAGGTTGATCGGGCGCACGCTGCAGGCGCCCAATCCAGTGAACGACCCTTTTTCACCCGGGCCGACCCCTGGCAAGGGCATGCTTATAAGAAATGAAATTTCGAGCCCTCGGCCCCCAGGCCTCAAAATGCTCCAAAGAGGCCGCCGAGAGGCTCCCAAGAGGCCCCCAAACCGCCCCCAAAAAGGCCCCAAGAGACCAGACAAATCATCCGTGACAGCTCCGACCCACAATCCAGGCACGGTGGCGGGATGAGCAAGAGGCCATTCGATCAGCAGTTTTTTTTTTTTTTTTTTTTTTTTTTTTTGTTTTTTGTTTTGTTCTTTCCTTTTTCCCCTTTCACAGGGGTGCCTAGCGTGCTGAATCATACGGTTCCTGGTTTTCTTCTTGTCCCCAAAAAACTCCCTCTGGGGCTTCGGTCCATGCCGCCGGCTGCCTGCCTCGTCGCTCGCTGCTCAAAATGGCCCCGCAATGGCTTCCTCGACGGCCAAGATGGCCTCGACGACTGCCCAAGAGGGTAGGCCGCCAACTCCGCCCAATGAGCCTTCAGGACGGCCCGATATGGCCCGCGAGGCCCCCAGGAAGCCTCCAAGAGGCCCCCAAGAGGCCCTTCAGGAGGACTCGAAAAAGGTCCATATGATTGATTTTCGGAAGGTGCTTGAACAATTATGGCGTTTCCTTCTCTCTGGGGCCTTCCGGCGGCCCAAGAAGCCCCCAAGAGGTCCGCCAGGAAGGCCCCCCGCCGCCGCCGCTGAGCCGGGCGCCCGGCAGGGCGCGCGGGCAGAAGACTGCGCAAATGGCAGCCCTTCGGAAAAATGCGTCACAGGCGCGAGCGCTTCGCGACTGTGAAGCAGGAGCCGCGGCGCCCGACTGCGAAGCAGAAGCTGAACTGCTCGCAAGCTCGGGGCGCAGAAAAGGCGGCAAGGGGGGAACAGGGGGGAACGACGATGCATATACAAACTACACCTTTTTTATATAAAAAACGACTGGACTGACGAAGCCCACTGCTGCTGGAGCCGGCCCCTCATGCGGCGCGCAGACCAATATTTAAGAACCCCGCTTTCGTTCGAAAGTTCGCGCTGCGCAAGCGAGGTAGCATCATGCGTGGCCATTTGTGCGTGCAGTTTCTTTCGGCCAGAATCAAGCGTGTGCGACGGCGATTTCGCTGGCGCTTTCACCGACGCCCTCGCGTTACTCACATTGGAGTTGCATGCCGATGGGATGCTGGGAGGCGCCCGGACGAGAACGGTCCGCTGCTAGCGCCCATCGATGATCCAATGCGCTCCACCTGAGAAGGCCCCAGTCAGTGGATGACTTTAAAAGTAGTCGAATGGATCTTGAGATCGATTGCGAGATCGATAATGAGATCGATGGTGGAATCAATAGAAGACGCTTGCACGGTCGATCGTGAGTCCCAGAGCGAAGCCGATTCCATGAGATCGATGGGGAGATCGATCGCGAGATCGCTCGCGGGATCTCTAGTGCAATCGCTTGCGAGATCGACTGCGAGATCGATTGTGAGACCGATGGTGAAGTCGAAAGACAAATGGGAAATCAGATCGATGCTGAGACCGATTGATCAGAAGATCGACCAAGAATCCGGAAACCTGAGAACTTCGCCGCCCGCCGAAATCGGCCCGGGAACCGGGGAACCGGGAAACCGGAACCAGGAACGCAGGAACCCAGCGTGCGACCAAAATCGGCGGGAAACTTCCGCCAAGTCCTTCAACCCTCGCTAGGGCCCCTGCAGCGCAAGCGCTGGTGGGGGAATAAAGACGCTCGCTCAAGGCCACGCCGTCGTAGATCCTGCGTTTTCTTCTCCATCCAAGGGCCGACCGTGACCAAATACGATCGAATTGTTTGAATGTGCTGGTTGCTTCTCCCAATCTTCGGGACATGTCAGCTGTTGCTCCGCCGTCGCGCGAAACCGCACCCCCTTGAATATGTTGCGTATCGCCATATTTCTAGATCGGGAGCAGTCTGGCCTCGTTATGTTTGCATGTGTGGAAATGTGACTGTGGACTGTTTCCCGCAGTTAAGCTCCAAGCTATACTTGCGCCCTTCCTCCGCGATTGCGTTCAGCATGGCTTGCAGGTTCGCTTGGCACTGCGATTCTAGCAATGCGTCGTCAGCATCTAGAACGTCACGGGTTACCACACATTCATGTTCAGCTATTACAAGTAAAGCATCGATCGCGTCGTGCAGCATGACCATCTGCGCTGCGATGAACGAATGCGGAGACAGCGGGCGCCCCATGCGCGATCCCAGCGGTTTGTGTCCTCTCTCCGTCGAACTTCCAATGTGGCCCAGGATGGCTGAGAAGCGAGCTGCGAAGAAGGAACGCATCACGTCCACGATGTCGCAGGATAGGCCAAATCGTTGCAAGGGGTTTGCTCGTGACTTCTTGCTTGATTCGGTCAAAGGCCTTTGCCCAATCCCGCATTCATACCAGTCTGCCCTCGCTGCTATTGGTGTGCGCGGCATCTATCATGCGCCTGACAAGCATGATGGCGTCTGCGGTGCCGCGCCCAAGCGGAAGACCATCGTATGAGTTGCGCATGAGTTCTTCGGACCCCCCTTGACGCAACCTCTGATGTACGAGTGCCGCCAGGATTTTGCATCCAACTGAAAGCAAAGAAATACGACGGTTGCTCCCTGGAAGGGCAGCGTCTCCTTCCTTGCAAAGGGATGCCCACTGTTACTATTTTCCAACATTCTGGGATCGCCCTCCTGGCCCAACATTGTAGGCAAAGCCTCAGTGCGACGGCAGTTGCGCTTGTATCGTGCATGTAGATTTCAGAAGTCAGAGGGGATGTCGTCGGGGCCGGCGGCCTTTCCGAGCCTCAGTTTCTGTAATACGTTATGCAGCTCGTCGGTCGAAAACTCATGTTGGTGCAAATAAGGCATCACCAACTGGAGCTTGATATCCCGGTTGTAATTATGGATGTTGTACTTGCGACTGCACTTGCTCGAACTAGTCTGCCATGATGTCTCTCCGTTCTGCAATGTCTGATAACGTGCCGTCTGGCTACTTGGCGGCAGCATGTTTTACATATTTGGGTCTACGTAAGAATCGTGCTACTTCTCATCAACCTCCAGCCACATTTTTTCTCCAGCCACGCTTTGCGATCTTCCTTCTCAGATCCGCAGACCATCTTACAAAAGCTTGTTCCGATGCAAACTCCCCAATTTGGCGACGCGCCTTCCGCTGCTCAGTAAGGTCTAGGGTACGCTGGCTTGTCCATGGACGCCGCGGTCGATTTTTTTTTTTTTTCTGGTGGTGTGCGCTCTGCTTACTGAAACGCTTGTTCACCATCACTTGCTGCTTCAGCAACCGCACAACTTTGATACTCTGCAAGGGCAGCGCCCGTGAAGGCGCGCAGGAAAACACGTCTAGAACCAAAATATGTCAAATCACTGTGTTGCTGAAGCGTTTTCTTTTGTACCCGGCCCGCTCTGAGCTGTATAGAAATGTCCACCACTGTGAGAAAATGCGGGTTGTTTGATTGCTGCTCTTGGCACATTCTATCTTTACGCGCACATGGAACTTTTCAAAAAATGAAAGTTGCCCGAAAGAACTTGATACATCGCCGAATTCTTTGTTTATGGGAAACACATGCTCTGGGAGAACTGTATGAAGAACGTCTGCGTTATAACACATTCTTCTTTCTTTCTTTCCAGAATGTCAAGATTTTACGACTTACTCCGATATTCTATGAAGGAGCAAAGGTCTGGGTCACACAGGCCTCAGGAAAGGCCGCCACAAAGCAATTCGCAAACCGCACTCCGGCGTAACCGCAGCGATAGCAATCGCCGATTATTATACTTTCCGTAAGGAATACGATGGATTGCATAAAAAAATCCAATGGAAGTCCAGAGGATCTCATGGATTTCCGGGGGAGCCCCATTCCTCTCGCGCCCCTTTCATTTGCAGGAGGACAGGCGCGCTTGCGCAACGCGCCCCGCGCCCTCCGCCTTGGACTGCCAGAACTCTGATGGTACTCTGATTCAGCTCTGTTTTCGGGAGCGGCCAAGAGGGGGGTGTCCAAGAGGTGGGGGGTGCAAATCATGACCGGCGGCACGTGCGCGGCCCAGCGGGGGGGCAAGGGACGTAATGAAATAGGAAGAGGCGCCATGAAATCTGGGGAGATATCATGGCCCACGCCATGATGTCCACCCCCCCCTAGTCACCCCCCCCCCTCTTTTCCGCCCCCGATGTTTGGGCTCCGGCCTGAAACTCAGATTCATCCCCGGTTTTGCAGAAACTATGATTTGGCTCTGGCCTGAAACTCAGATTCATCTCTCTGGTTTAGCTGAAGCTCTGATTTAGCTCTGGTCTGGAACTCGGATTTAACTCTGATTTAGCTGTGGTTGGGGACAGAACCGAATCAGAGTTAAATCAGAGTGCAGACCAGAATTAAATCAGAGTTTCGAAGAAGTCAAAGATGAAACAGGGTTCTGGACCAGAGTTGGATCAGAGTATTATTTGAGTTTTGCGAGCACACTCAACCCAATGGGACGCGAATGCTCAGGCAAACGCCTGCGATGGTACAATACGGGCTGGCGGAATGGGCGAAGCGAGTAAGCAATAACAACCGACATCGACACAACCTTTCGATGGTCCGCACGGAGTTCTTGTGTCAGTGCTGGGCCCCTCTCCCTGGCGGGCGGAGCGCGCCAGGGGGGGGCGCCGGAGGCGTCGCCAGGGTGTGCAGCGCCGACTCATGACACCCGCACGGGCAATCTGACAGGTATGTTTGCGCCGACCTTCTGCTCTGATGCCTGGAGCACGCGCGAAACAAACTGCGACCATTGGGGAGCCTGGAACCGGATTCGGGTGCGGGCTGGCCGAGGTCTGATGGATTGCTCCCGGCCCTCCTGGCCGGTCCAGAGGTCGAGCGAGCATGGGGCTTCCTGCCGCCGGCAGGCGGGTGCCGCGGCGGGGGTGCCGTCGAGGCCCCGCCGCCCGCTGCCGCCGCGCAGGGCGGGCGTCCCCGCGGGCCCGCCGAGCCCGAGCTCCTCCAGGAGCCGCTGGGTCACCTCGCTCAGCTCGTCGATCCGCGACACCGCGTCGCCGCACACGGCCGCGATCTCGTCGCGGCGGCCGTGCGGCTGCGGGCTGGCCGTGCTGCGCGGGCTGCGGCGCCCCGCGCACCCGCCGCCCTGTCGCAGCCAGGGCTCCACGACGGCGGAGTGCGGGGAGGCCTCGCTTCGCGATGGCAGCATCGTCGTCGAGGTGCTGCGCGGGGTGGAAGAGGTCGATCGCCTGCAGCGCGACGCTCGGACGCTAGCAAGCTGCACCTCCAGAGGCCTCCATTGGACGGTGAACCGACTGTTTTGAAGGCCTCTGGGGCACAAATGGTAGCATCTTCCAGGCAGCCGAGGAGCCGACCCGACTCCGCCAAGAGGGCTCCTGGACCCCCATCTCCCCCTGGGCTCCAGGAAAAGCCAGAGACACCAGCGGGTGAGCCTTCTGCCTGGGCAGATTCGAACCGAGCTCGCAGCTGCTCCCCCTCGAAACTCCCGCACGGGGCCTGCCGTGGACCCCCTCCGCAGCCCGCGCGCCCCGGGCCGCACCGCGCGGCGGCGGCGAACGCGGCCCCGGCGAGGCCGGCAGCAGCCCGCTGCCAGACACCGCCGCCGCGACCGCGGCGGCGGCGGAGCCGAAGCGCGGCGGGGGGGCCCGCGGCGCCGGCGCGAAGACGCTGCGCGGCGGGCTGGGGCGCGGCGGCACGCCGCCGCCGCCGCGCCAGGCGGCGCGCGGAGCTCCGGAGCCGCCCCCGCGCGCCTCGGGGGAGGGCGCCCTGGCGGCGCGCAGCGCGGTGGCGAGCGTGGGCGCCTCCGCCCGCGGGCGGCGCCACGAGGAGCCGCCCTCCGCGCGGCCGGAGCAGGGCGCGGCGCCGGCCATGGCTCCAGGGCCGCGCGGGGCTCGCGCTGGGCGCCGGCCGCCATGCGCCGAGCGGCTGCAGTCGGTCCCACCTGGTCACACGCCACGGCTGGCGCGATGCCAGGGGGGCCTCGGCAAAGGGAGGGAGGGTAACTGATGCTCACAAAAACTCCCTGGCTACAGGTTCACGTGGGTCGTGGTCCACATCGATCTGGGAACTGCGTCTCGCGGCCTCTCCTGCCAGCCCACGGAGGCCCGGAGCTGAGAATTACCGTCGCGAGTAGCTCCGCGCTAAAAGAGGCAGAGGTCGCGCTTCCACTCTGCCCGCCATCTACGAGGGTGTGATTGCAAGTCGCGGCGCTTCTTACTGCCACTGCAGAGGTCCTGTTGCAATGCAACAGGGTAGCTGATATTGTTGTGGGGACTTCATGCAATTTCCCGTAGTTCGTGTTTTGTCCCCGTCGGTCGGAAGGAGTAGGTATCAACATGAAGTAGGAAGGCTTTGACAGTAGATTATTGGGCTTCCGCCCGCACACTGAAGAGGAGGAAAGAGGGACGATCACATGACTCCTGAAGTAGGAAGGCGCATCAACTAGATTGGGACGTGGGCATCCAAAGGCTACCTGCTTTCAAAGACCGAGGGGCAATCCCGCTCCACTTTCCAATTCTTGCAACGCCTTGGGGGATGAAGTCCCCAACCACCCAAAGTATCTGCGGATCTCAGACATAAATTGACACGATTGGCCTCCCACATACACTCCCCAAAGAACCAATGGTGTCCGACTATTTTGCCTTCTGGTCTCAAGAGGCTTCCAAGACACTCTATAAAGGGCCAAGAGGTGCCCGATAAGCTGCCAAGAGGTCCGCAAGATGGCCAAAGAGCCCTCCCTGACAGCCCAAGAGGCCTCCGAGCGGTCATCATCTTTCAAAAACCCGGAGAGAAATTCGCCGCCGACCCTTTGGGGGTCGCCGGACTCGGCGTGTGAGATAGTTGCCCCTCGCCAAACACCTCCCCCAGGAGCCCAGTCTGGCAGATTTGGAGTGGGCGGGGCAAGGGGAAAGTTCTCGTCTGAGCCACGAACGCTCCCAGGCGCGCCCAAAGTGTCCAAGAAAACTTCATGACGGTCCACAAACGCTCAGGCGCAAAATGGGTCCAAGAGGGCTCCAGATTGCCTCTACACAGCCCCGGAGGATCCAAAGACGGCCCAAGGAGCCCAGGGAGGACCCCCAAGAGGGCGCCAAGAGGCTAACATCGCAAATGTGGATTTACTTTTTCAGTGCTCGCCGTTTCGATCTCCAGGATGTCTATGGGACAACCCAATAGGCCTCCCAAGATCGCACCAAGACGATCAACAGCATCTTCAAGAAGGCCCCACAGCGGCCCAAAATGACCCAAGCTGGCCCGCAAGGCCGGCAGGGCAGCCCAAAAGACCCCCACGAGGGCCCCGGGATGGCCCTCAGCGGGGCACTCGAAGGGGCCCCTGGAGCCGTCCAGCACAAGGTGGCCGCCCAGACCCCCAACATGCTCCCAAGAGATCCCCAAGATGCCCGAAAGACGCAGCAAACAGCCTCAACAGGAATCACGGCTTCTGGCTCTCCAACTGGAATCACGACGCCGAAACGCTTCCACGGCAACGCCCCTTGGAAGGGAGGCATCCAAGGCTCCATGAGGTCGGCGGTGCGAGCCCATGAATCCGTGCTGCTTGACATCCGGCAGTTTTTCTTCCGGCGGGCTTCCCGAGGCCTGCTCCAGGATCTTCCAAGACAGCCCCAAGACCCGAGAGGGACCTATACGGGGTTCAAAGACGGCCCGAGGAGTGCCCAGGAACGCCCCCCAAAATAGTGTCCCAAGAGGCGATGGCTCGGTCCCCGACGGGGGAGGATCGCAACACAGTCCGTTTTATTCCCAACCATCCTGCGGTGGTGGGTCGTCTTCGTTTTGAAGAGACAGCGCCCCGCGTTCCTCCTCCTCTTCCGCCTCCTCCCCCTCCGCCTCCCCCTCCTCCCTCCTCACATTCCTGCTTCTGCTCGCCGCATGTCCACCCGCAGATTTCTGCACACCCCTCAGGAGGATCGTGACCCCATAGGGACCTCCACCGAAGGCCCCAGCGGCAGGGTTTGCATGCGCCCCTCCGCTCATTTCGGCACACCCCTCACGAGGATCGTAGCACCATAGCGAAGGCCCCTGCGGCATGGTTTGCTTGCGCCCCCCGCCCATTTCGGCACACCCCTCACGAGGATCGTGGCCCCATAAGGAGCCCCACCGATGGCCCCAGCAGCAAGGTTTGCATGCGTCCCCCCGCCCATTTTGGCACACCACTCACGAGGACCGTGGCCTTATAGGGAGCTCCACCGAAGGCCCCAGCGGCAAGGTTTGCAAGCGTCCCCCCGCCCATTTCGGCGCACCCCTCACGAGAACCGTGGCCCCATAGGGAGCTCCACCGAAGGCCCCAGCGGCAAGGTTTGCATGCGTCCCCCCGCCCAGTTCGGCACACCCGTCGCGAGGATCGCGGCCCCATGGGGAGCTCCACCGAAGGCCCCAGCCGCAGGGTTTGCATGCATCCCCCCGCCCAGTTCGGCACACCCCTCACGAGGATCGTGGCCCCGTAGGGAGCTCCACCGAAGGCCCCAGCGGCAGGTTTTTACATGCGTCCTCCTGTCCAGTTCGGCACACCCTTCACGAGGATCGTGGCCCCAATAGGGGGCTCCACCGAAGGCCCCTGCGGCAGGGTTTGCATGCGTCCCCCAGCCGATTTCGGCACACCCCTCACGAGGACCGTGGCCCCGCAGGGGGCTCCAAGGCCTCAGCAGCAAGGTTTGCATGCGTCCCCCCCCGCCCATGTCGGCACACCCCTCACGAGGATCGTGGTCCCATAGGGAGCTCCACCGAAGGCCCCAGCGGCAGGGTTTGCATGCGTCCCACGCTCATTTTGGCACACCCCTCACGAGGGCCCCATAGGGAGCTCCACCGAAGGCCCCAGCTGTGGGGTTTGCTTGCGTCCCCCCCGCCCATTTTGACACACCCATCACGAGGATCGCGGCCCCATGGGGAGCTCCACCGAAGGCCCCAGCGGCAAGGTTTGCATGCGTCCCCCCGACCATGTCGGACACCCCTCCCGAGGACCGTGGCCCCATAAGTAGCTCCATTGATGGCTCCAGCGGCATGGTTTGCATGCGCCCCCCCGCCCAGTTCGGCACACCCCTCACGAGGATCGTGGTCCCATAGGGAGCTCCACTGAAGGCCCCCGCGGCAGGGTTTGCATGCGCCCCTCCTGCCCATGTCGGCACACCCCTCACGAGGATCGTGGCCCCATAGGGAGCTCCACCGAAGGCCCCAGCGGCAAGGTTTGCATGCGTCCCCCCGCCCATTTCGGCACACCCCTCACGAGGATCGTGGCCCCATAGGGAGCTCCACCGAGAGCGGTACCCACAACGCGGCACTCACAACTGCATATGGTTGTGTCTTTCGCCTGGACCGACAAAAAAAAACGAGACAAAAAAGCGCCCCGCGTCTCATTCCTTCCTCCCGCTGCCCCCTCCGTCCCCCCATCCTCCCCTTCATCCTCTCCTCACTGACTTTGGCACACCCGTCACACGCTTCGTGGCCGCATGAGGAGATTCACCGGAGGCCCCAGTGGCTGCGCTCGCATGGCAACACCGCGCCCATGTCGGCACACCCCTCACACGTTGCGTGGCGCCAACGGGAACTCCACCGAAGGCCTCAATGGCTGCGTTTGCTAGGGAGCCCACAAAGGACGTACGCGCCCAGCTATGTACATGAACACGGCCCCTCGATTCGCGAGACCGGCCGCGTTATACTAACATTTGTGCAATGCATGCTCTCGAAACTAGCGTGGATTCATGTACATGTACGTCCTTCTTTCGCTCCTGATTTGCATGGCACCGACGCACCCAGTCCGGCACACCCCTCACACGCTTCGTGACCGCATGGGGAGCTCCACTGGAGGCCCCCGTGTTTGTGCTCGCATGGCACCGCCGCACCCATGCCGGCACACCCCTCACACGTTGCGTGGCAGCATGGGGAACTCCACCGAAAACGATACCAACAATTGCGTTAGATTGACAACTGCGTATGGTCGGGTCCTTCGCCAAGATAAGAGACCTCCAATACGTCAAACATGGCTCCAACATGACACAACAAAACTGCCAAGAACCTGCCAGATTCATGGTTGATTCGAATCTGCTCAAGCGGAACCCAAGTTGGACGGTTGCGTCCCTTATTTGTGTCACTGTCTGCTCCAACGCTTCCTTGATCAAGGCATCCCCCCTTGGCACTGTTTCTGGATGTGCTAGTGGTCAGGGGACACGCGCAGCGCCGACGATTGACTACTTAAGGCAATTGGCAAGTTGTATACACT